CTGAAAGGATGGAGAAATGGAGAAAAAGGGATTGTGGGGGTGCTTTCTACCTCTTTTTCTCTATGTCTCTCTCTAGTGAGTGCACATGTCCTCTGGCAATTACAAAACAAACAAAAAAAACTTTTGCATTTCAAAGAACACCAAGAAAGTTGAAAAGACAATCACAAAATGGGAGAAAATATTTGCAAATCATGTATCTGACAATCTGAATACAGAATATGCAAAGACCTGTTAGAACTCTAATAAAAAGACAAATGCCCAGGACCCAGCCCCATAGCACAGCCCTGTGTATAGGGAGCCAGATTCCACATGGCTCACTGCAGTTTCAGTTCCAACCTTGGTGGCTTGAAAACAGGCTAGGCATGTGTGTGTGAATGCGTGTGGCAAATTTTGACAAGATGGAGAAATGAGAGAAAAAGGATTGTGGGGGTGTTTTCTCTCTCTCTCCCTCTTTCTTTCTCTCTCTGGTAAGAGCAAGTGCTCTCTAGGAATGAAAAAAAAAAAAAAGAAAGAAAGAAAGAAAGGAAGGAAGACAAGTAACCCAATTAAAACAAGAGCAGGGGCTGGACAGTATGCAGCAATAAGACAAGTAACCCAATTAAAATAAGAGCAGGGGCTGGACAGTATGCAGCAATAATAAAACTTGATACTCTGCCAGGCTGGCCGACATGGGAAGGTTCTGGATACATGTCCAGAGACCTCCCTGAATACAATGGGTACATGTGTGCCCATGATCTGGGATTGACTGAGACTGGGGATGGATTGTGAAATCAAGACCCTGTTGGGCATGCTATCTCTTTCTGTGTCTCTTGCATATGGAATAAATAAATATTTTTAAAAAGGAGCAAAGCATTTAAATAGACATTTCTCCAGGGAAGATATCCACAAAAAATACTCAACATCTCTAGTTATTAGGAGTACAAATCAAAATGACAAGAAGATATTTCACACCTATTAGTATGGTTAGCCTCAAAAAAAAAAAATCAAAGATTAACAAGTGTTGACAGAAATGTAGAGGAATTAGATTCCTCATACATTGCTGATGGGAATGTAAAATGGTCAAGTCACTTTGGAAAACAGTCTGTAAGTTCTTACAGCAATTAAACAGAGTTATCATATACCCAGCAATTCTGTTTTTAGGTATATACCCAAGAGAAATGAAAACAAATGTAAACAAAAAAACTTGTACACAAATGTTTATAGCTGCAGTGTTCATAAGAGTCAAAAGGCAAAAGTAGGGCCAGACAGCAACACAGTGGTAAGATATGATGCCTCTGGGAAGTCATCCTCCATGGGGAGGTTCCGGGTTCAAGTCTGCAGATCTTCCTGACTAGGCCGGGCACACGCTTGCCAGTGATTTGAGGCTGGCTGAAGGCTGGGGGTGGAATGCAGCAGCCAGATATTGTTGGTGGTGCAATCTCCCTCTGTCTCACTCACTCTTTCTCTCTCTGTTTCTCTCACTCACAGAATAAATAAATACAAATAAATGTAACTTGAAAGTAAAAGGTGAAAGCAACTCAAATATCTATTAACTGATGACAGGATAAACAAAGTGTAGCATATCCTTAAAATGAAATATTATTTGACCATAAAAAGGAATACAACACTAAAACATACATGCTGCAGCATGAACAAACCTTAAATTATGCTAAGTGAAAGAAGCCAGTTAGAGAAGACCACATTACATGATTCTCTATATATAAAAGGTCTAGAATATGAATATCTAGACAGAAAGTGAATTAGTTGTTGCCTAGGTGCATGGAGGCTGGAGGAAGATAGGGAAGTGATAGCTAAAGTGTATGGTTTTTTTTTTGTTTTTTTTTTTTTTTTTGAGAGATTTTCACGTGGAGGAAGATAGGAAAGTAATAGCTAAAGTGTATGGTTTATTTTTATTTTTATTTTTATTTTTTTGAGGTGATGAAAATGTTATAAAATTGACTGTGGTGGGAACCAGCAGTTAGTGTAATGGCTATGTCGCTGGACTCCCACATAGTCGACCGCGGTTCGCATCCCGGACCCGGCGG